ATTTTCACTCAGAAACTGCTAAATAAATTAATCTAAATTTATATTACATTTATAATAAATATGTAAATGTATCTAAATTCTGCTAACTGAAATCATAAGGATTCTGAATTTGTAAGGCCACACCTCAGGCTTTTGACCTATTTACACAGCAATAAATCAATCACTCAATATTACAGGGTTTTAAGTAACACAAGTAACACATTGAATTTTAGGGGTGCTCCGATCAGGATTTTTGAGGCCGATCACCGATCGCCGATCACAGAAAGCAGTATCTGCCGATAAAGCCTTCTTTTTAATAATTTATAACTATTTATAGTGATACTCCAATCAGGACTTTTAGACATTTATTCAGGGCCTGAATTTCATTTTTGAAAATGTGGGGAATTCCCCTCTTAGGTGACTCTTATGAGAGGAGAAGCAGCTTTCACACAGGAGTCCGCTACTGATCCGTGACTGTTTACCACAAACACAACATTTATCCATTAGTTTGATTTCAAATCCAAACATTGTCACTGAAAATGCCTTTTCAGCATTGCAATTCTTTTTTTACACGTACAGTAATGCAATCTTTCACAGACATGTTTAAACAATAAATATAAGCAACACATTATTCAATGCTTTTTACTTTTAAATTTACTTCTAGATTTATATATTAAGTTGTTCAAGCAAGTGGTAAAACATTTAAACTACTTTTCTTACATTATCACAAACTTACCATTGACAGAAATAGTCAGCTCTACTGCCTTTCCTTTTGCATTTAAATCTTTATTACAAGCAATCCTGCAACTTTGTTTTCCTTCCTCCACGAGTGCCATCTATTATTGCCTTATCTAAAAGTGCTCTTTTCCTTTAAACCTAGCCAAAAAGCCATATGTATTGACTGTGAAACACAGTAGACTTTCATAATATGCATTTATGGTGTAATTATCCATGTTCATATTTACTGCAAACAATGCGCCGTTACTTTAATTCAGCGCTTGCAGCGCAGCAATAGACTCGGTGTGGAAAAGATCTCTGCACTGCAGCAGACGCACCGCTCGTGGAACGCACTACCGGACCGCAACCGTGTGCAGTGTGCACGCTTTATTAATCCGTTAACATGAGCGTGGAAAAAATACGCACCACATTCGCATTGCAAACGGAGTAATGTGAACCTGGCGTTATGTGTGTGCACTGCGAGTGTGCAT